ATTTAGTTCATTTCAGCTATGATAAATTATTTGCATCAGAAACGCTGACTCTCTAAAACCTGAGATTTTGGGAAATGTTATTTATGCTAAAAGTATTAATTCCTAATAGTTTTTGGTCTCCTGCTTTACTACTTCTCGTCTTGCTCTCATTTCGGGTCATTACCCCATATACTGCATCCCATATGTGTGCCTTTGGCAGTCCAAAAGGTATGATTTGTGTTTTGATTTTCCTGGCCAGTTTGCTGACTGCAGTGACTGCTGCTGGCATTTTGCCAGCTGGTTGTTTATTTTGTTACCGCTACAGAAAAAAAATGTTCCTCAGATATGTTTCGGCGTGTGTCCGAAAGGGAAGAAGAAGGGAAGGGAAGAAGGCCTATGTTATCTACTCCTCGCCTTCTTTTCTGATCTTAAAGGGTGAAGCGTGGAGCTGAGCTGAAACAACCTCTTTGGTTTCATTTTCACTATGGCTGGTAAAACACTTCAATTTTCCCATGTGATTTCAAACTGTCCATCATTTCCCCCCTCCTTTTTTGTCCAGGTCCTGACCACTAGAAGGAAAGATGGGGAAAAGTCCCCAAAGGCCTGTTTCCTAAGCCTCCCTTAGGGCACAGGCTTAATAGCAAAGGTCAGGAAGGAGTCCCATGTTGAGACAAAGCTTCAAGAGAATCTGTGTCCTGGGCAAGGAACCATTTTTAGCCAGAAGACCACATTTCCTTTTAGCTATCCTCCAATGACTACATGCCAGTGGCATAGCATGGGTTGCCTGCACCCGGGGCAGACAAGCCGCTGATGCTGCCAGAACGACCCCTCACCAGAACAAACCACTACAGTGAAGAAGAAAAGATTCCCATTCCCTGGTCTAGAATCTATAGGGTATTCTGCCAATTGAAGCTTCTACTCTCATTGCAGTATTATAACTCAACGACCCTACGTGGGCAGCAACAAAGACCTAAAAGCAATGTTGGAGGCACTGAATGTCACAGTTTAAACTAACCAGCCTGTTCTTTGGCTGCAGGCTTCTAGCATATTATTGATAGTATAGGGTGTTAAGAAACTTTATACACAACCCTTGCTTCTGTTTGACAAATGAATGGAAAACCCTAACCCAGTCATTTCACTCCAAACCTATTTGCAAGAAATGGGGCCCATGAGGACCTAACTTTGAAGGCAAAGGTTGCTCTGTGCCAAGCCAATCTGTGCCCAAGTTGAACTGTGTGAAAATGCCTGAAGAACTGTATTAGCTCGAGAGAAGCAAAGTCATTTGGACACAATGTTGGCGGGTCTTTTGTTCAGTTGACGGTTTGCACTTTCGCTTCAACCACGCTCTGGGGGAGGATCATCATCAAGCTACTGCAACTCCCAATTAAAACAACAACATGGATTAAAATAGTATCATAGAATTCAGATACTATGACGCTTCAAATATTGGGCTTCTTAATTTCAAATTTTCTAAAAGAAAGCATAATATTTTTAAACACACACACATATGCATATATACACAGACACTTATTTTCACAAAACCATATTCATATGAATACCTTTATGAGATTCCCTGAACCCCAGGACTTCCTCCCACCCCTCCACTGGCTTCCAGAATTCTTCCCCTTTTAACTGCCTCTAACAACTTTATCTAACTTTGTTATACTCCATTCTTACCCTTTGTTAATTTAAATTACAAGTGCTATGTGAATCCTGCTAATGTTTTTAAACTCTTACAGTGTTCTTTAATGTTTGTGAAACATGGACCACTTATAAACACCATCTCCAACTCCTTGATAGATTCCATCAATGGTGTCTCCAAAAATTTTTACACATCACTTGGGAAGACAGGTGAACTAATACCAGTGTACTGGAAGAAGCAAAGATCACCAGTGTCGAAGCAATGGTTCTTCAACATCAACTTTGTTGGACTGGTCATGTTGTGCGGATGCCTGATTATCATCTTCCAAAGCAACTACTCTATTCCAAACTTAAAAATGGAAAGCATAATGCTGGTGGTCAACAAAAGAGGTTAAAGACTCTCTCAAGGCAAATCTTAAAAAAAATGTAGTATAAACACCAACAATTGGGAAACACTTGCCTGCGAGCGCTCCAATTGGAGAACAGCCTTTACCAAAGGTGTCATGGGCTTTGAAGACACTCGAACTCAGGATGCAAGGGAGAAACGTGCTAAGAGGAAGGCACTCTTGGCAAATCCACACAGTGATCAACTCCCGCCCGGAAACCTATGTTCCCACTGTAGAAGGAGGTGTGGATCCTGAATTGGCCTCCATAGTCGCTTTCAGACTCATTTGTTAAAACCATGTTTATGGAAGACAATCTTACTCGGCTATGAGGGATCGCCAAAGAAGAAGAAGAAGACCATTCTCTACTAAACTTATTGTCCTCTTGGTGCCTGATCTCCACATATTCCGCTGCCATCTCCGCATATTCCATCATCTTCAATATCCATTCTTCTTTTGATCGAATAATGGGCTTCTTAAGAGAAGTTGCAATAATTACAGGCAATTCCCCATTTTGAGGGGGGGTGTTTACGTTCTGAGGCACTGCATGCATCAGTGAAATCACATATATTTGAAACACCATTGAAAAAGCCTGCAAACACCCCATTCTGCCCTGTCCCTCCCCATCCTGCCTCTTTTTGTGACGTTTTCAGGTCACTTCTGGGTTCAGTGCGATGCACAGATGCACACATATTGAACGGGCACACATGGAGGGGTGCCAATATACTGTTCAGATTGTTAGTATGTATGGCTCTCTTTCCTTTTCCTATGTATTATAAAATATATATTTTATGGGGGTTAAGAATACCGATAGTTCTTGTATTGTGCTGCATCAGAACCTATTGCAATACTTCTAAGCGGGATGGACTTGCTCAGGGTGTTCCGTCGTGGCATGGAACTGAAATACATTTTTAATTTCAAAGGTTTGGATTTATTGAACTATGTTAGTTTAATGCTCAACTTCTTAAATTAAGAAAAGTCAGCTTTCCCATGCATGCAACAGCTTAGAAAAGAAACAGATCTTCCGTTAACTCAAGCATTATGTTGGCCGTGCTATAGTTCAGAATGATTGGGCGGAGGGAGAGAAAAAAAGAAAAGCGCTTGGACTTTGTCAGAAACTGGAATGTTTAGGTTGAAATTTTCTTTCTGTTTCTGATCTCCAGATGGCCATCAGTCTTCATCTTGTTCCGTCTTTTATTCCAGTCAGCCTACAGCATGTACAAAATTCTCATCCTGATCTGGTAACATTTTGCAGTCTCTTTGCACTTATTAAGGTGCCAGGTGGCATAGTCCTATATATAAGGTGTTGTTGTTGCTTTTAAAAAAACTTAAAATCTTTTCAGCCTCCCTCCCATAATCTGGAGAAACCCAATTCAGGAACTTCTGTTGTTGAGTTGTTGTTTTTCCATTAACGCTATTACATAGCCCTCAAACTGACTTAATTGTTTTAAGAGTCATATATGAGTTTTCATATATTTTGATCCTAATATTGTCCAACCAGCCAAAGTTGCTATAGATGTATATTCTAAAGTTCCCCAGTTCAGAAAGTTGAAACCGAAGAAAGGTTTCCAGTATTTGATATTAGACACTAAGTAGGCATGATGGTGGGACGCGGGTGGCGCTGTGGGTTAAACCACAGAGCCTAGGACTTGCCGATCAGAAGGTCGGCGGTTCAAATCCCCGCGGCAGGGTGAGCTCCTGTTGCTCGGTCCCTGCTGCTGCCAACCTAGCAGTTCGAAAACACATCAAAGTGCAAGTAGATAAATAGGTACCGCTCTGGTGGGAAGGTAAACGGCGTTTCCGTGCGCTGCTCTGGTTCGCCAGAAGCGGCTTAGTCATGCGGGCCACATGACCTGGAAGCTGTACACCGATTCCCTCGGCCAATAAAGCGAGATGATCGCCACAACCCCAGAGTTGGTCACGACTGGACCTAAAGGGCAGGGGTCCCTTTACCTTTGCTAGGCATGATGCTGTAGTTCCAATTTCGGAATTCCAAATCCACCTTCATTAATTTGTAATTTTCTTTTCCTGCAAAGATAATCTTGGTGTTGTTGAACCCCAAATACATTTCCTAGCAATATTCCAATCCTGGCATTGGTCCCCGGAGTGCAAACTTGTTGATCGCTTGGACTGAATGTATAAAGTCAGGGAAATTATATGGGAAGGCAAAACCTGTAGCCTATGAAAGGAAAAAGGATCTGCAGGAGACAGAAACTGCAGTACACAGACAGAGCTACTGAAGGCTACAATGATAGGTCATAAAGCAAATATCTCAGTTTGAGACTTTCTTTTGGGGATCCAACAGAACTATGAATTTTAACTTAACATGCTCATCTTTCAAAAGTGTTAATTTGATTCTCTTTCATGCTGGGAATCTAAGGCAACAAATTCATTTCAGTTTTCTTGCAACATACTTATAGCTTTGACTTTCTCTCTCCCCCCCCCACCTCTACACACAAACACACATGAGGAACAGATTGACCATATGTCAAAATTTACTGAGTTAATTCATCATACCTTTTTTTCATAGTATTGCCTAATGAGTGTTTGTCAGTAACCCTTATGTTAAGTTGCCGCACAATATTCTGAGGTTCTGTATTAGAAAATCGTTTGTAGCAGTCATGCACTAATCTCACTATAATTTGACATGTTGTATGCTGCCTTGTTGTATTTTAATGAAAAGCGTGCTCTGCAAATATTTTACATAAATAAATCTTTGAGCAAAGGCGTTTAACCTTCTGAAGACTACCGTCCCTTTTGAGTTCCAGGTTCACTCAGCTTCAGAGAGCTACATGTTATGGAATGTATTTTTTCACATTGCTCCATTTAGGAACATGAACTATATCATGGTGAATGCACATCTTGACAACATTCAGTGGTCGGAATTGTGCATTGCGTCTGATTTATATGACTGGCAAAATACAGATGGAAATGAGTGACTTGTGGATTAGGGTATTGACATGCAGTAATGTGGCTTTTGTTTTTGTTTGGCTACAGGAGCTGTGAGGGTCGAAATATCAGATACCGAACATGCAGCAACGTGGTAAGTGATTATGTGCCGGGGCAACTGCAATCCACATATCTGGAAAGATTTGGGGTTTGTGACAAATGGGTGCTCTGGAAACTATCCCCCAAAAGGATAAGTCTCTAGTAGTAGCGTATGACATTCAAGTAAATGAGGTTTATACACAAATATTTACAGTTGAAGTGTTGTTGGTATGAAGAGAGGCACATTTTCCCCATAGAGGCGCAATACTCAGGCCTCCTTGCAGACGTCTTTCCCCTCAATGCAGAAGGAGGGAAAGAATGAAGGGCACCTTTTTCATGCTTGCCCTCTTGCAGACCCTCCAAATGCCTCTGTTTTCCAGATTTAAAGAAGCCATCCTGGTTTCTGTTTTGATCCCAGAATGTCCAGCTTTCCCTTAGGACATCCCTGTATCCATCAGAGAAATGTATGAAGTTTTGTGACCCTCCCGCCAAGCCAAGGAAACAAGTTACTGTACAACCTTTAGAACAGGGGTCAACAACTTTTTTCATCTGTGGGCCAGTCCACCGTCCCTCAGACTATGTGGTGGGACGGACTATATTTTGGGGGGGGGGGGCGGGAATGAACAAATTCCTATGCCCCACAAATAACCCAGATCAGCATTTTAAATAAAAGCACACATTCTACTCATGTCAAAACACCAGGCAGGCCCCACAAATAACCCAGAGATGCATTTTCAATAAAAGGACTCATTCTACTCATGTAAAAACATGCTGATTCCCGGACCATCCGTGGGCCGGATTGAGAAGGCAATTGGGCCGGTTCTGGCCCTCGGGCCTTAGTTTGTCTACCCCTGCTTTAGAAGACACCTGAAAGCAGCCCTGTATAGGGAAGTTTTTTAATGTTTAATGTTTTATTTTGTTTTTATACATGTTGGAAGGCGCCCAGAGTAGCTGGGACAACCCAGTCAGATGGGTAGAGTATAAATAATAAAAAGATGATGATGAGTGGTGTCCAAACTTTTTTCAAAGAAGGCCAGATTTGATGAAGTGAAGGGCCGTGAGGGCCGACCAAAGGGCCAACCGAAGTTGTTATCCTTTCTTTAGGATTCAAGTTGTTGAGGGTTTTTTTAGGATTTTACCCCAGGAAATAAACTGCCACAGGGGCTGAATTAAAATGACCAGTGGGCTGGATTAGACCCATGGAACAGCCTTTGTACATGTCCCTGTTTTCATCAGAGAAAACCTGAGGGTATGCTCTTGCTGAAGGGATGGGGAACCTGTGGTGTTCTGGATATTGTTGGACTCTAAATCTCATCCACCCCAGTCGTCAAGACCAGATGTGGTCAAACAACATCTGCAGGGCCGCAAGTGTTGAACCCCTGTGTTAAATAGTCAGAAAACCTTTTAACTGTATCTCTTTCCTTCACTAGAACAACTGCTCCCCATACACTCATGTTTTTTCAGTCAGTCATTGAACATGATGGCTAATGGCTCCAATGTTGTGCGTGGTTTGGCTGCATAAATCTCATTGATTTCATGGGCGTTTAAACCACCTTACTGTTCACGGGATTACACTGGGGTCCTCTCCGGGTCGTTGCAATCTCCCTTTAGTCTAGACAGGAGCTGTCCTCATTGACAACAACTGGAGGTAATAGCCAGTCAATAAAGCTGCCCTCTGCTTTTTGGGTTGTCTTCCAGCTGCGAGGCACTTTGGGTACACCAGGAGACTGAAGAGAGCAACAGGCTTAATAATTTGTGTCAAGTCGGGAGACATACGGTGGCTCCACTGAATATAGCATGGGAGAAATGAAAGAGACACTGTCCAAGCTGATGGGATTCAAAAGACTCTCGCGGGTTTTGTTTTGTTTTGCACAATACTGGCCAGCTTGCTCCTTGCCTTGCTCTGCTGCTGCCAGCCCCAAAGGAAGCAGAAATGTAACGAGATGCTGCTCTGCATTAGTTTGTTGTTGCTGGATCACCCTGCTGGGAAGCTGGGATTACACCTAAGTTCGGAGCCCTTGTTTATAGGAACAGCTGAACTTTTCCAACACAAAGAATAATCTTTCCTTAATAGAAAAAATAAAAATGTTGTTCTTAGGATAGGTTCGATCTTCTGGCTAATGCACTTGAAATGTGTCTCTTCAAAATAAAAGTTCACATATCTCTGTCCAAAAGCAAGAGTAGAGAATTGAGTGTGTAGAATCAGAGTTATAGAGCAGCTGCTCTCTACTTCATGGCAAGAAGGTTGGTGTTTCTTGCTGTTCCTTTGCTCAGAAATCTAAGGAAACAGGGGGACTGTAATGTAATATTGGGTGCAACTGTGTGGCCTGAGGCTCCAGTGGGCACCTCTACACATGAACGATGTTTTAAAAGGCCGCTAGTAGTACGTTTCCGAGCACAATTCAAAGTGTTGGTGCTGACCTAAACAGCCTCGGTCCAGTATATCTGAAGGAGCATCTCCACTCCCATTGTTCTACCCAGACACCGAGGTCCAGCTCCGAGGGCCTTCTGGCGGTTCCCTCATAGCGAGAAGTGAGGTTACAGGGAACCAGGCAGAGGGCCTTCTTGGTAGTGGCGCCCACCCTGTGGAACGCCCTCCCACCAGATGTCAAAGAGGGGAAAAAACTACCAGACTTTTAGAAGACATCTGAAGGCAACCCTGTTTAGGGAAGCTTTTAATGTTTAATAGGTTATTGTATTTTAATATACTGTTGGAAGCCGCCCAGAGTGGCTGGGGAAACCCAGCCAGATGGGCGGGGTATAAATAATAAATTATTATTATTATATTATATAATGTCATTGGAACTAACAATTGCCTGGTTCAGAATCCAAATAAGTATTTGAGGAGAGTCTCGTTTTAAGTCTTTTTTTCTTTTAGGGAAGCCATTGGTGCTAGTGGTGGTTAGAAGTAGGGGTTTCATGCGGTGGAGCTGAAAATGTGGCGTGCCCTCACTACAAAAGCCCACTTTCTAACATCTTTGTCCAGGAAACTTGGGAGAGCTTTTATAATCCAATTTACCATTGAGTCGTTTTAATGAACGGTGTGGGTTCATTACTGGTTAGCCTGTCTTCCAATTTTTATTTAATCTGTGTTTCAAGGGAGAGGGATGTATGGTTTTATTTAATTTTTTTATCGCCCACTTCCTCGGCTGCTTTTATGTGGGAAAGTGATTTATAGATATGCATCTACATGAAATTCAACACGAGCTCACTCATTGCACAAATGCAAACAGCAAAACAATTTACAAAGAGTAGGAAAGATTGTCTAAGCCCCCCTTTAAAAAACAAAACCAAAAACCTCTTTCCAGAAGTTGCCTTCTCAGAATGCATGCTGCAGAGATAGTCTAGCAACTCCTCATTCAGTGTCCAAGGGAGAGATAAATCACCTGTAGGGAAATGGTTTTGTCTTCATGATGAAAGGGATGCCTGCTCCTGGTAAAATATACCTGCATATACATTGCATATATCAAATCAGCAGGAGGGGGAACTGACAAATTAACAGTGAAAATGGGGAGAACTAAGGAAAGATATCCAGGTCTAGTATGCACTGAGGGAATTTCCAAACAATCATATTTTTGGTGTGATAAGTACACATTTGTTTCTCATTTACTGCATATGGCACACGTATTTTTCTCTCAAGGTTCATCTTATTGCCCCGGCAATCCTATTTTGTGTACCTGGGGAGATGCAACACTTTCTCTCATAGGGAACATTCAGTGCAGTTACAGTTGCAGAACCATAATAATAACCAAGAAAGCAATCTGAAGAAGTCCAGATAAATCTGACAAGAAACTTTCCCCAGATGCCTCTTGCATTAACTCCACCTCTGTTTTCCCATTACGGTTGGCTTAATCTGGTATCCTTGCTTCCCAGAGTTTTTGATCCTTTCATTGTTCTGGAGTACACACCACGAATTAGTTTGTTTTAAAGGTGTGTGTGAGAATAGCAGTAACTGCAGCAAGTCTTGTTTCCTCCTTTATCTGTTGTGGGGATGGACATGGATAAATTCATGTGGTGACTACAAGCGTGGAGTAAGGGTTCTGAGCTCTTTTTCTGGCTGTCCTCCTATCACAGCAATTTTATTTTTAGGTGAAGAAAAGCTCCAGCTGCTAAATTCATGTGTGCCAGGCTGCTCTTAGAGGCATGTGAGCAAAGGCCAGTGAAAAAGTTGGCATCCTTCTGGAACTTTTACCTGGACTAGATGGTTGTTTGGTATGATTCTGCCAGCCCAATTCTTATTCTTTAAATGGCTTTAGGGTCCAGCCAGGAAATTTTTATTTTGGAGGCAAGAAAGATCTATTTGTGTTCTGAACTGTGGTAGAAACTTGAGGGGGAGAAAAACCCAGCTAAACATGTCTGAAACCATTCTGGAACTTTGAAGGAAAAATACCCTTTGTTGTTTCTTGGAAAAACGACCCTGAACGCAGTAAAAGAAAAAGACACATTTTTATAACTTGCTATGTTATTATATACCCTTTGGTATGAAAAGTAAACAAAATCTTAAAAAGTGACTCACACATTTCTTGGCTGCATGGAACTTCTAAAGCTGATTTCTCTGCCATATTGTAAACCTATAAAAGATGGATTTTTAAAGCTGTTCTTTCAGCCCTTTTCTTTCCTGGAGATTCACCTTCAGCTGCCAAAGGTTTTTCTATTTTTAGTGACAAGATGTCACTAATTCTCTCCTCCTGAAAATAACCTTTTATTATTTCTTCATCTACAAACAGAACCGCTCAACCATCACATGACCTGAATTTCCATGCTTCTAAATACTCAGATTATACCTTTTTCTAAGTTCATAGAGTCAGAAGCCATCTGGTACAACTCCCTTCTCAGGCGCTGAATCTTCCATGCTGCAGACTTAATTTTGTAAGACAAACCAGATGGCCTAAGCAAGGGAACCATATTATGTCTTAGACCAAAAGTCACCTTTACTTTCCACCTGCCCCCACATTATGGATCCTTCTCAAAATAGATAGCCCAATGCAGTCATGACTAGGAACCGCCAATCTGCTTTATGAAGCACCACACTCCTCCTGCCCCTTCCCACATTCC